TTACATTACTGTGAAAACTCATTTTCCAACTCTAAGTTAAGCTGTGGAGATTTGTATTAGGTAACTGTTCAGAGCTTTGAAAACACTGCACATTTCTGTACAAGCCAGAGTTATCATTTCTTTGTAAGTTATTCAGCTTGGCAATTGCTTTTGATTTGGTTGATAACATGATATAATACATTTAACTAAGAAGAATCATTTCTACACACTATTTTTTTAAATCATCTAGAACTGAAATCTACAGTTAAACTACCTGTGCTGAAATTTGGGGAAGTTTAGGTTCTATTTTTAAAAAGTATTAATAATCATTGACTATATCTATGATAAAGTGCTTATTTTGGTTTACTTAGGTAATGCTGCAGTTGGTGAAAATGATAAAAATTTAAAGTGTTAACACTCTGTGAATGCATTGGATTTAAGAGAATAAACATTTTATAAAAATCACTTGGCGAGGATTATAAACTAATTATTGCACTTGAAAGAAAACATTACTTTTTTTACAGTGTGTCACAGAAGTGGGCTTGTATTATTTGTACACTTATGTGACTTATTCCAACGTTTAAAAACTAAGCATTTTAATTGAAACACAAGAGGCTTCTTTTTGAAGAAACTGTGTTCTTGCTTTTCCCCAAAATGTTACTAAGAGTAGAAATTTAATTTAAAGACATGACCTTTTAAATTCTCTTGTAAAATATATTGTTTTAATTTAATTTTCCTCATTACAACTAATCCCCATTTTGATGGGATGTATAGGGAAGAATAAATGTGTGTGCGTGTATATATAATATATATATTCACAGTATGTATTTAGCATTTATTTTATTACAGCAGATTTAAGGTTTGTATCTAATGATGCCTATGAATTGTGTGAAACTTGGCCCCCCCTTTCCCCCCAGCATTACTCTGTAACTGATGAGGGTTGAGCATTCATTATAGTTCAACTATTTATTTGGTTCTCTTTTAGTTGTAATCCTCACTTGAGGATATGTTTTTCATTGATTTTAGAGAGAGGAAGGGAGAAACATTGATGAGAGAAAAACATCGATCAGTTGCCTCTTGTATATGTCCTGACTGAGTATTGAACCCGCCACCTTTCAGTTTATGGGAAGATACTCCAACCAACAGAGACACACTGGCCAGGGCTGTTTGGTTTTTTAGAAAGGAATTTAAATACTGATTTTTTTTTTCTTCATTCTTACGGCTTAACACTTCCTTGGGCTGTTGGAAGCTAAAAGTAGATACAAAATGATATTGAGTGTATGGTACAGTGATCTTCTGCCACAGTTCTTACTGCATGAAGAGAAAAAAAGTCACACAAGTTTACCACCTTGCACTTCATAGAGAGGGTATATAGAGATATTGCAAAAACCTATCTCTTTTAACTATCCTGATAATTAAGGTTTTCATGGGATATCCAGGGCCTGTCTCTAACCTGAGTAACTTCATTTTTGCAAGTATAGACATTGGCATTCAAGAGATTGATCCATTTAAATTTTTTTCAACTGGATTTTGGAAGAAGATAAAAATCTTTCAGTGCTGTAGTTTATTGTTGTCATCTTACGTGCTCAGTCTGCATGTGATCAAATGACATGCAGGTTTTAAATTTATTTTTGGTTCCTAAAATTGAGGAAGCTTGAATATTGTTTCACATTCCTTTCTCTTTTTAAATAATATTTGCTTTGCAAAAGGCTTAATGATGGAGTATTAGCATCTGCTGGAACAGAATATAGTATTTAAAAGTTACTAAATAATTCTCTAGCTTTCTTAGTTATGGCCTTAATACTGAATTTTTTGGGGGTAAAAGTAAATGTTTTACTTTGATCCAGTTGAACACACCGGGGTCAAGTCTCTGATATTTGTGTTGGCCATATATGTTAACCATATTTTAAAAGAATCCACTTTGTATTTTACAGAAAAGATAAAATGTAAGAGTGGACAGTATATTCCTTTTGAAGGATTTTAAAAAAATTCTTAACTATGTGATGGTGGTTCTCCCCCCCCCCCCCTAATTTTATATATTTCCTTACAATTTGGTGGCTATAGAATTTTAACTTTAGGCTTTTAAGTATATGCTAATTTAGCTTGTCTAAGCTTCCAGGAAGTTACATAGACATTTCAGTTTTCATTAGCTAAATGAAGATATTTTAAGAAGTTGAAAAGAAAATTAGTTTTCAGGTTGAGAGTAAATTCTCTTTCAAAATTCACCTGATTATTAAATAATTTAAAGTTTTGGGTTTTTTTTAAATTGAGAACTTCTTATGAGTTGCTGAGTAGATTGATTCCTAAAAGTGCAACTCAGGTACCAACAAAAGAAAATGGTTTTACTTTCAGTTTTCTAGCACAAAACACTGATTAGTATATAGTATAAAGAAACAGCCACATTGCTTTTTTTTTCTGATTCAGGTGTCCCTTGAGTGGCATCTCCTAATGTTCGGTTTGTGTTGGGGGGGTCAGAACCAGTTATCTGCCTTCTATTTCGTCCATTGCTTAAGTTTGTTCCTGTTGTCAAAACTGTCCCTCCCACCCCCTAAAAAAATGATGTGACACATGCTCATGCATTTATGTTAAAATGAGTACATCTGTATTTGTATTTTTGTTTTCAACATTGCCAAGGTGCTATGGGAAATTAAAGTAACAAAAATTAGGACAAATAAAATTGTTTAAAAGCAAGACTGGTTTTCTTTTCTCCAGGTGGTTTATTTCTAATGACTACTTGTATTTACTTTTCAGTAATTTTATATGTTGCCCATTTTCTAGTTCCCTTACAATCCCGGTCTCAGCAGGTTTTGATTTGTTTTGGGGAAGGGGCAGAGGTAAGATAGGTGATACTGCATCTGTGAAGTGAGGGCAGAGAGCTATAAGATTCAGCTTTATGATCCTGGGGTTTTCTTAAGTTACTTTTGTGTGAGTAACAGTTACTGAAGGGTGAAAAATTACAGGGCAGTGTGCAGTTTAAGGATATGCTTTCATTGGGCTGATAGTATGGTCTGACTTGAGTATGTAAATTCTGGGCTTTTAAAACTTACTTTCAAGAGAAAACCATTAGGTATCCTTTACCTTTTCAACCATATCTTTGTTTTGATTGTATCAAATCCTAAAGCTAAAGTTTTTTTTTTTGTTTCATTTTTTAAAGCTGAAGGTTTGATAGATTTTTAAAGGGAAAGTTTACTGGGAAATCTAAATAGGTCTTCAAGCTTTTTAATACCGTGATAATGCAAAAATGGAAAAGCTGAGTGAATCTCTAGCTTTTTAACAGATGGTATCTATAAATTAATGTGACATTTCAACTTTTATTGAATATAGTTCATCAGTCCACCCTTACCTGCACTTTCACTTTCCATGGTTTAGTTATCCAAGGCAGCCACAGTCAAAATATTAAATGTCAAATTCCATAAATAAACAATTCATAATTTTAAATTGCATGCCATTCTGAGTAGCATATCTGAGGTGTGGATCATCCTTTTGTCCAGCATATCCAGACTATACACCACACAGACATTGCTCTTGGTTTTCAGACTGCTGCTCTAAGCAGTGCTTTTTTTTTTTTTTTAAGTCAAGTAGCCCTTAATGGCCGCCCCCACAGGACGAAGTAGCCATGCTGGCAATTTGCATATGCCAAACACAAGACATAAAGTGCTTCCTTTCAGTGAAATGGGAGTACAGTGCAATAAGATATTTTTACTATCTATGCAGTTATGTATGAGGTAACTAATGTGTACCTTCACTTTAATTAGCTCAGTAGCATTGCCCCTTGAAATAGCTAAAACCTTTAGTTTACTAATGAACAGTTTATCTTAATGGAGATAGTTAATATCAGTGAGCAAAATGGTCCCATTAATAACAGGTTTACAGGATTACATACAGCTTTAGAGCCTTATGTCAATGTGTTGGTAAATACATTTGGCCAAGAGAGGGGTATGAATAAGTTTATCATATTAGGAACAGTATTTTTAATGGACTAATAACCAAATTGATAGCCTTAATTATGTTTCTCATTAGGGAGGAAAATCCTCCCCAAGATGCTCCTCCCTGAGTGGATCACACACCTGCCAAGGAGGGTGGGATAGTGAGCAGTTGGCATATTCACCTTCAGTCGGGGTTGGTGTCTGCTGACAAGGAAAAGGGGCTGAAGGGCTGTTAGAAAAAACAGACACCTGCCAAGGCCCTGTGATGATCTCTTTCTGTGTAACTATCACCTCAAATTTAGTGGCATAAAAGGATGACCATTTTATTTTCAAAGGTTTTGGACAGAGCACAGCAGGCATTGGTTGTCTTCCATATTGTTTCGGACCTCATCTAGGGAAGACCGAAATGTCCAGCGGCTGAAATCATCTAGTGGCCTCTTCACCCTAGGCTACGATGACTACAAGGCCGGGCTTAGCCAGCGACATTGGGCAGAGCACCTCACGTGGCCGGCCAAGTGTGGCAGGCAGCTGCCCTGCAGGAAGGTTGCTAGGTTCTCAGTGTTCAGGGAAGGAGGGTCCTGAGAGGGTTCTCTGCAGTGGGGGCCTTTCAAGAGAACCAGGGGAAGCTGCATGGCCTTCTACAACCTAACCTCAGAAGTCACATAGTATCACTTGGGCTATGTTCTATTAGTCAAAATAATCAGAAACCCATTCAGATTCTGGGGAGGGGGCATGGACATCACTTTATATTTTTATTGATTTCAGAGAGGAAGAGAGAGGGAG